GAATATAAATAAATATATATATATATATATATATATATATATTATTCATCACCTTACCATTAATATTTGACATATTATAATAATTTAAAAATAATTTTAGGATATTATTGAAAATATTGAAAATAGTATCCATATAGTGATACTGTGTAATATCTTCTGCGTGAAAAATCCTTCTTTTATAATATATATCTATATATATGTAAAGGTACTATATGTCTTCATATTTTCCATCAATTTCATTTTATTTATATACACTTTTATACCTTTGATTCACATACTTTTCATTTACTCTTTCATTCCGTTTTAGAAACCAACCACCTCTATTCTACGGTTTTTTTTTTCTTGGTCACATAAATTCTTTATCTTTATTATTTTATTTTATTTTTAAATAAATACACAAAAATACAATGTATCTTTTTATCACAAATAAATATATATTTTGATATTTAATAAAATTTATTTATGGAAAATTTCGAGAGTAATCATTAAATTATAAAAAATATCAATTAATAATCCTTTTCGAAGTACGTTTTTGATATTGAAGATATGTTTTATATAATAGTAATGTTACAAGTATAATAAAAATTGTAAAACATTATTTTTGTATTTATCTTTATAAATAATAATATCTTTTTTATGATAAATAAAATAATGAAGGAAAATAAATAAAAATGATATTATACAATTTTGGTTATATAAAGAAGTGTTCAGTAATGAGTCATTCTAAAATATAATATAATAATGATGCTTAAAATAAATATTTTTATTAAAAGCATGCATTTTAAGAATATACTTAAAATAAAAAATTACTTTTTTTTCTTCAGAAAACATTATACCTTATACAAAATATAGAATCTTCATTTATATGGAAACACAATTTATTAATAATTTATTAAAATTAATCAAATATACTATATACTTGAGTAATTGAATTAAGAAAATTTTAAAACTAGCCTATTCCAATAAATATCTTCTTTCTAGTAACATTTTAAGATATTTATGATATTAGACAATCAAATTTTTATTTATTTCTATATCTGCATATAAGAGTTATTAAACGTATTTAAACTTACTTTTTAAAACATTTTTAATTATAGTTTAAATTGTATTTTTAATTCCTTTATTTACCTTTAAGATTCAATTTGATATCATTATTTTTAAATAGTTCAACTTGTTTCTCTAAATTTTTTAAAATGTTCAGCATTATTCTTTTGTTCAAAATAACATTAATGGCGTTTATGAAATCAAACAAAAGAACAATATTAAATATTATTTAAAAATTAGATGGCCAAATTAAATTATTTAAAAATAGTGAGATCAAATTAAACATTTCATAAATAGATGAACTAAATTGAATAAAAATTTATTTAAAATTTTTTCTTTATCTAGATAAAGTTGAATTTTCTTTTATCTTTTTAATAATCTATTTTATTAGATAAAAGATAGTGTTTCCAATTCATTATCAAA